CTGGCGTAAAAAAAAATAAAATAAAATAAAAATCTAAGCTAAACACACACCCAGGCTACTTCTGGAAAATGTGCAGAAATTATAACAAGGAAATAAAAACAACACCTTGCTCTACAGATGGCAGAAATCTTATGTTCCCAGAACTCCCCACCTGGTAAAAAGCTTGAGGTTAAAATAGTCCCCTCTACAGACAAGACAAACATAAACTCATGTTCAGCATTAGCACAAGTGGTTGCATCACAAATGCCTGCTGGTGCTGGTAACTAACTTGGCACCAGTTTCTCTAATCAGATCTTATTTCAAAATAATTGCACATGATTTGTTGATGTTTGTTACTGTTACTGAAAATGGGCAAAGGCAAAAATTGCTTATTCTGATATAAAAGAAGCTTGAAATAGAAGTTGTCTAGGTCAGCTACTAGAGCTAGCAACTTTTCTAAAATAGGGTAAAAGCTTTGTGTCCCAGAATGTCTTTCTCCCCTCATTCTTGCCACAGGTTACATGATCTAGATGTATCTGTGATTTGTAAATTTTGATGCTATGTTGAGTGACAGTCTGAAGGACACAGGAGTCAATTTGCAGACAGAAGATAACTGCACGTACTGTTGTGCTGGCTGTCCAGCTGCAACAGCCTTAGCTGGATACCGCTATCCATACACTCTTCAACTTTAGAGAACAGATATTTTTTTTAATCTAGTCAAAGACCAGTTTAGTTTGTTTGTTTGTTTTCTAGAAAAAATATACATGTAAGTTCTTATTTTTCTTGTCAATCATCACTACTAATTCAAAAAAGTATTTACGTCCTAATGAGACATTCAGTTTACCCTGTAAGTCCAAAGTCAACTTGCTCACCCAAAAGCTCACCATAAGCTAATGGATATGGGCTTTGCAAGCTCAGACTGTTAGAGGATATTTAAAACCTGCTGCACCCTATGCAAGTTTGTCCCCAAAAATCAGAATATACCTGTGGCCACAAGTTTCCCCTGTGGCTAGAGGTTCAGTTGCTCTAGGCCGCTAGTAAGACTGGAGTTATACCTCTTGGGACCATAGTCATCTGCAGCTGGGTTGAGTTAGAATAAAACTCAAGGCACGGTGAGTGTCATTAAGTTGGAAATTCTTGATAATCAGTAATCAATTATCTGAGTTCTGTTTTGACAGATCTATGGGTTGCCAGTGAGGTAAAATTGGCCCAGGTAGGCCAATTGGCCTCTTCTTCTGAAGGAGGAGCAGCTCTGTGGTTTAGATTTCTCCAGACAGAATAGTTTCTGCTATCTTTCAAGTCCAGTGGATATTTAAGAATGCACAGCATATGCTGTATCTCTCTTTTTCTCTCTGATATGTATATATAAAACTTAGTATGTATATAGCCACTTCCCTAGATGATGGGAAAAGCTTTTGTCTGCTGGAATGTCAAGTCAAATGGAATAACTTAATAAATTGCACTTGTGATTTAAAAACCCTTGACACAGCAGTGATTTTGTTATGGTGGGTCTCCTATGCCAATGCATGCCAAAAGACTGTGTTGCCATCAAAGAGTTTATGGCTTGAGAAATAACTGTGTAATTCTCATCTTTTCAGTATGTGAAAATGATTTCTTGGGGGGAAAAAAAAAAAAGAAAAAGGTGGCCCGTGATCTAAAGATTACAACTTTGCTATCTTCCTGGTTTGCTAGTAGTACAGAACAGAAATTCTTTCTCGATAAAAAAACAAAACGTGTTGCCACTGGGGAATGTGTGTCCTCCTTAGTTGTAGCATTTACTAGGTGCGTAAAGGACTGTGCAGGTGATCCAAGTACTTTAAACATTCAGTATTTTCAGCTGCTGAAAACACTAATAGTGTAGTCTTTATCAACTAATCTAAAATGACACTTCTCTTACTATAGGAATTACACTAGAAATTGAGAAGAGTGAAGTCTAGGATCATTCCACCTGAGCCCTTGCTGCTGAGGACTAAACAAGATGTCACTTAGTCCAACAATTAGTGTCTTTTCAACTTCCAAGGAACATTTCATTTTGTGCTGAAAGAGGGAGGAAAAGAAGTTACAATCATGAAATGGTAGAGCAATGTGGAGTTAGCATCAGTAGTTTAGGGAGATTTTGTATCTAGTATATCTTCTTTCAGTGAAGAAGGGTTTTTCACGTACTGTGAAACCTCTTCCCCACCTCTTTGTTTGTCTTGCCCTGGTTTTGGAAGCAGTACAGAGAAGACAGTAATTTCTGGAAAAAAAACACCGTAGAATTCACTTGTTATTCCCCCACCCCTCCTCTTCTTTAAAGTAAATTCCATGGCAAATTAGAAATTCTATGTGGATTTCAATGTTTTTGAAAGTCCAAATGAAACCTGGTGGCATGCTCAACTTCAGAAGAGCTTAAGACAGAGACAGACAAGATTTGAAAAATACAAGCCAACACACCTGTGAATTTACTAGAGCACTATGATCTGTCTGCTCTTGTCCTCTTGAATTTAACTTTACAAAGCTTAATTTAGGTGAACTGCATGGAAGCCAAGGTATAAAGGCGTTTTTCAAGAGTACTAAATAGAAAAAATTCAAGCATTGTTAAAGGCATAAAATTAAACATCACAAGAGCTTAAAGCTTAGTTTGTTGTGTTTTTTTGTAGAAGAGCAGTTCAGGATTTGGGACAATACTTTTGATACGTTTTTTAATAGTAAGGCCCATGGAAAGAAACCAGCCTCAAATACTTTGTTAGGCTATACAAGGTTAGCATTATGTCACATTTCTATGTCGCTACCTTTGTATTGAGGGTAAGGTAAATTATTTAATAAGAATGCCAAATGTTTATTAACACTGTGTGCATATGCACTAACATCAGACTGTAACTGGGCAGATGTCGCTATGTTTGTTAGTTGCAGCGTTTACATGATGACTCTTCATCCAAAATGTCATAAGGATATAATAGATATGAACTAAGGAAAGCTGCATTCCATGTACACAGAGTGCAAATATTAGTTCTTGGCAAAGAAAAGAGGAACACATTTCTGAGGAGGGAATTTAGTCCCCTAGTCTTTGAAATGCTAACATAGGTCAATTAGAACCTTTATTATTATTACAACAGGACTTACACTGACATTTTAGTAGCTCCAGAGCTACAAAACTGGTGAGAGGAAGGAATACAAAGCTGTCTCAACTTGTGGCATTGCCATGTAGTGAAACCAAACTGGCATCTTCTGTGGATTTTTTTTGTCTTAATGATAGTCAAAACGTAAAAGTTATATGCAAAGAATTTCCATTCTAATATGCCAAGTAATAAACCCAGCAGCCACAGAGGTTATGCTGGAAATTTCATTAGACCCATTATGGCCAAAAATAGAATTATTTATAAATAACAATATGTTTATAAATAACAGTGTTCAGTTCTGTTCAGCATTTGGAAACCCTGCATAATCTTTTGAGTACTTTGCAATATGAACTCTTTTTATTAACAAAGAAAGAAAATGTAATTAATAGTATTATTTCAAGAGTTTTCTAACACAACTTCACCGTAAGTTCCTGAGCTACTGAGTGGGATAAATCAACACTAATAAATCTGGAGATCTAACTGAGGATATTTAGACTGGGGTTTACGAGTCGAATTAAAGCTTGATTTCATTAAGAATGCTGTGCATGTGTGATATTTCCAACCGGTTGTCAGGTTGAGGCAAGCGTTGCTAATACTGCTGACAAGTTATGCTATTAAAGATGGGCTGTGCTTCCTATTGCATGCGTTACACTGACACTATACTTTCTTTCCTTTCCTTTTCTCCTGTGCCATGCTTGCTGTTTAGCAAATGGAATCTCTTGCAGTAAGTTGAAGTTCTTTCATATTCTTTGTCCATCTGTAGATGGACTAATATACCCCAGTTTTACTGTTCTATTTCTAAGCATGTTTTCCTTTTTTGTTGTAATTTTTCTTTAGAATATGTGGTTCTACATGCGGTGACTAAAATAATTTACTAAGGTGTGTTTTGTGAAATCTAAAAGCACTGTGCCAAAATTTTGAGACCTTCATATGCTGTTTTAAATGGTCGTTTACATAAAATTTTTACGATTTTTAAAAGCCTTTGAATGGATATGAGTTGAAAATGAAAAAAGTTATTTTGAAATTCATAGTTTTCAAATTGTTCTAATGAAAATCTACAGTTTATAGTTGACAGTTATATTTCAAATTGGTTTTTTTATGTGTTGATGAATAGTTTCACCACTATTGGTTTCTAATACTTGTTCAGGAAGAACAAGGATTGAGTTGCTTGATATGGTAACTAAATACTGAGTTAGTCAAACCTGAGTCCTCAATTTGACCTTAGTTTGTGTTCATTCAGGTTAGCAACCCAAGCAGTGAAACTGAGTTCTCGCTCACAGAATTGTTGAATTGTTGAGGCTGAAGAAGACCTTTGAGATCATCAAGTCCAGCCTCTCTTTAGTCCTCTCCAAGGACTGAAAGAAATATCTTTTACATGCCAAGCTATCATGAAGCTGTTATTTTCTTTAATTAAGTTGTGCCAAGTCCTGGTTTTCATTTAATTTTTAACTCCTTGACACTTCAAGTACATGTGTGTTTAACTGCTACATAGTGTTGCCAGTTCTCCAAAATTCAAATAGGGTGGATTTGATCCCTCCCCAAGAACCTGGGGTTGTGTCTGTCCCTGCTGTTGAACTGGACGGGACCCAGGAGCCAGTGTGTCCCCCCAGGGCTGCATGGGAGCTGGACCATTAGCACCTGCCCTGGCTGGTGCCCTGGCCAGCGCCTGGTGTGCCCAAGCATGGTTCCAGAGAAAACAGAAGCCAGAACCATTTCCAGGAGGTTGTATCTAAACAGTCACTCTTTTTTGCGGAGGAGAACGGTTAGCCACTCAGATGCAAGCTTGGCAGTGTTTCTTATGGAGAGTGGTCTCTAGGCAGGTTTTTTTTAACAGGCAGCACCCCTCATGTCCCACGTCTTCATTGTCTTAGCCATCAATAGGTTATGTCCTGCCCACAAGTCAGTTCTGTCCTAGCGGGTCACACGTCTGTTCCCTCCCTTTTAATTCCCACCACAGATCTGGTGGGCCTTCCTTCAGCTCCTGTGGGGCTTTGCCGTTCTACCATGTCTGTTGGGAATCTTCCCTTCCGTTTGGGGCAGGAGCACTCTGACCCTGCTCACCAGTAACAGACATGAAATGTACCGACTCAGATACCAGAAACAGTTTATCCCTAAGAGCACAGAGCTCAGACCGGGCACATCATCTACAGCACCGAACTCCTCTGCTGTGGCAGACCAACGCTGAGGTGAGAGCAGCCCTGTCTGCTCGGCCTTCAGCAGGATGAACCCTTCTGGGTTGACACCCAATGGCTTGGTGGTCTCCTTCTGCTCCCACTCTTCTCCATAAACCTCCTTGAGACAGGAAATAATTCTGCCTGGGTTGGGCAGTGCCCCTGGGGACTGCTCATGGATGGGTAATTGGTGTCCACCTCTCCGTGACAAACAAAGCTGAAATTTGCCAAAGAACCTCTCTTCTGAACTCAGCCCCTCAGCCTTATGTGGCTGGTACAGAAATTTTGAGAACTGGAACACTAAGGATATATTTCTAATTTTGGCTTATTAATAAAAACCCTGGCACTTAAATATTGAACCATATGTAAATAAACACTTCGATCAGATTAACATTTTTAATGTTTTTCCAGTATTTTTTGTAAGTATTTTTGTTGGCATTTGCGCAAACCTCAATTCAGCAAACAGCTGAAGTACATGTTGGTAGCTAAACATTTATGAGGTGCTTTAAGAAAGGAAAGACATTAATAGTTTTGTCTTCTTTTTTGCCATGTTTGGCATGAAACTCTGCTCTAGTTCCTCCCAGCAAACGGAAAGATCGCTGAGCCCACCCTTGGTCAGTGTGTCTGTAGGAGAAGACAAATCAAATACAAAGTCTCTTAGGCTTTCCTGCTCCAGAGTCAGGACTTGTCAAGAGTCAGCCCTGACTTGGACCTGCAGAATTTTCCGTTCTTCTGTCATTTGTCAAATATTAAATATTCCCCCCTTACTCACTATGATACAGCTGTGTACCTGTGAGTTTCCCCTTCCTGCTAGTGACATGGATACCAGGACCATAAGCATATAACTTGAGTTCTCTGGCAGATGTGCCCATCACATATGACTTCAATGTGTCTGATACCCTTTTGTGTCGTGCTGCACATTACACTGGAGAAAACAAGTTAGTATTCACAGAACAGTATCTACTTAATCTGGGAGAATAAATTGTAGAAGCCATATGTTCTCTTACACATTAAACTCCGTCCATTTGTTGTATGGTTTCTTTAAGATGATGGAAAATCCATGAGCTGAAGTTTCAAGCTGCAGAGCTGGCAATTCCCCCTTCCGGCTCCTGGCTGGATTTATTGCCTCTCTTCCTCACCCCTCAGAGAAGCAGGCAGGAGCTTTGTCCCTCTCGGACTTCATTGCTTCTCTTTTGGGTTTCCATCCTCTCAGAAGAGATCTTTGACCATTTCTGAAGTTCTTAAGAGTTTTATGTTCCACACAGCAAAATCATTTCCCCTGTACTCTGCCTGTGCTTTCCAGCTGCAAACTGGAGACACTGAAGCTAAGCTATATAAACTGCTTTAAGGTTGATGCTGATGTGTGCTACGTGAGAGTTAGCCATCATAATTTTGATTTTAAATGTTTTATGTGACTTGCAGAAGAAAAAATGTTATTTGTTTGCTGAAATAGTATATGATCATACTCGAGTAAAATAACATTTTTTGAGAACTGAACTATTTCAATGTGTTTTATTGGTTATTGAAAATTATCCCAGCTCACTGATCTTTATTAATTGTTTCTTCTCCTACAAATCTTTCCTTAGCAACTGGAACTGTGTCAGAGATTATATAAACTGCACTTCCAGCTGCTGTTGCTTTTTCAGTCCTACTGTAAACTTATTGGACAAGTGCATGAAGTCAGTTCCATGCCAGAGGTATGTAACAAAACACAAAGTCTTACACTAAAAATACCACTGTACTTCCATGTTTCTATTTTTCTTTCTGTTGACTTACACCAAAGATTGCACTGTTTCACCCTGAGTATAAGTCTGCAGGCAAAACCCTTCAATACACCAGCATCCACATTAAAATAGGCTGAGACGCTGCATTTTCTTTAATTCACTGTACTTTCAGAGGCTGGGATCTTGTATACATTCAGTGTTCAAGTCACTTCAGTCAGTGGTAACAAACTGGAACAATATATGGAATCTTATCTTCACTCACCCACTTTTATATTTATTTTTATATTTATTGAGGCCTTAATTTTTAGGGAAAAATGATCCTTCTTCACACACAGAAAATAGCCTGTTCCTAGATCATGACTGATTTTATCTGGACTTTGTGGACACACTTCGACCAGGAGCACTTGTTAGCGTGACAACAACAAAATAATTTGGTAAATTGATCTTAATGTGGGTGCAAAATTAAAGTTTTTGCTGGAATAATGTACTGTAATTCCCAGCCACATAAACTGTCCCCGTTGAATATTCATCACACTAGAAAGATCAGCAGCAGTTTTTGGCAATTATTAAATGGTTTTGCATCCTTTCATACTGGAGCAAGCAAAGGTGTGTAGCGTAGAACTGCTTTTATATTTTGACTGCAGTATGCTCACTGATCTTGCTCTCCGGATAACACATTGAAATCAGTTTAATGCTCCCAAAGAGTATTCTGTGATTTTTTACAAGCTTTCTTCTTTAAATATTTTTGACACAGCACACTATCACTTCTGATCCAAATAGCCTATTGTTTTTAGGTAAATCCGTGTATCTTACTTCAAAAAAATACTTCACAAGAACAATACTGTTAGTCAAGTTTATTTTCAGCAATAGCAGGGGTGAAAAATCAAAGATTGTTTAGATGCACTCTTGCATTTTAGTAAGCCAAAAATACAGCATAGTGTTAAAGGAAGCACAAAGCTTAAAAATATGTAGTTTGTGTGCTTCCCATATCGCACAGAACAGACGTCAAGAAATGGCCTCATGTTCAAATGGGCTCTTTTCCGTAAGGTGTACGTCCAGTGTAGTAAAAAGAACAGCCTTGAAATACCTGTTCCCATTGGCACCTATGAAGAATGAAAATACCCATCTCTCATCTTTCTCCTTGGAACAGCTGTTAAATATGTCGAGAGAGCTGAGTGAGCTGAAGAAAAACCTGAAGGATGCCACTGCTGCCATCGCAGCGGAGCCTCAGGCGACAGAATCCGAGCCCTCATTCAACTCTACGGAAGCAGCTATTCAGTCCATGCTGGAGTGTTTGAAAAACAATGAACTTGTGAAAGCTGTCCGACAAATAAGAGAATGCAGGCAAGTTTTGCTACATGGCTCATATTAAGCTTTCATGTGATCGGGAAAGGATGTGTTTATTATTCCCCTAATTTTATACTAAATGCAATGTGCTGAGTCACCATAATTAGCTATGTTTCACAGAGGTACGTGAGGTATTAACTTACTAACTTTTGCAGGGGTATGCCACAAGTAACAATATCAAATCAGTAATAAAAACCTGCATGCTTGCAACAATTACAATGTTCAATTACACTGTGAGATCGAAAGTACTTCTGCCAGGCTCTTTTCTTAAGAAGAAAGAGCTAATTCCTTACAGGTATATGTCACTGGCACCAGCTAACCTTCAGCCCAGTTTCACTTTCACTTATTTGAATGAGTTTTCTTAAGCTCTTTGGGGTTTTTTTAAGATAATAGGAATTGTGCTTTTATGTGATTTCAGTGCCTCATACCAGGGTCTGAGTAACAAATGAGTAGCAAGAAACAGTGAGCTGGGTTTTAGGGTAAGAGTGTGTGTGAGTCGGCTCTCATTTTAGAGATCTCTGCCACCTCGTTTCTGTCTGTGCTGATAAACCCATAATGATCCACACATTCTTCTCCTGTTTGATTGCAGGATTTTGTGGCCCAATGATATCTTTGGAAGTAGCTCTGACGATGAAGTCCAGACACTACTGAACATTTACTTCCGGCACCAAACCTTGGGTCAGACGGGCACCTATGCATTGGTGGGCTCCAACCAGAGCCTGACTGAAATCTGTACCAAATTAATGGAACTGAATATAGAGATCCGCGACATGATTCGCAGAGCTCAGAATTACCGGGTCATCAATACTTTTCTTCCAGACTCCAGCATTTCCGGCACAAGTCTCTGACAGGACTTTTGTGTCCTCTTGCAAGCTGGGAGTGCTGCCCTGCTGGGGTAAGGTGGCTCGATGTCTTCTCAGCCTTACAAAGGTTTGGTCAAACTGTACTCACTCTTGTTACGTTTAGGATTTCTTCTAAAAAGATACGGGCTGAACTTCAAACGTGTAGCAATACTGTAAGGACAAAGGTAGCATAGAGCGTCTGGGACAACATCCCTTGTTCTCTGTGGCACAAAAACCGGTTAGCATTTCACTGAGCAACTGCAACTCACTACTGAAGAAGCGACTTCCATTGCATACCAAAGCCTACTACACTGAACAATACTTCCTTTATAGCAAATTAATTTTAGGTTGGCAAAAGTGCAATGTTTCCTTCACAAAATAATATTTTTTGTTAAGAAAAAAGAAATGTACATTTTTTCCTTTTGTTTTTCCTCTTATTTGGTTGAGTGAAAGATGGGCAGAATGAAGCTGGCCACAGAATCTCGCAAACTTGTTGGTCGAAAGCTGAGAGCCTGTGTGTATGAAACGAATTGTAAATGGACTACAGTTTGATATACACTGTAATTTGAATATGATTACTGTATCTTAAAACAACGAGCTGCTATGAAGTACATTTCCTAATGTTACTAGGCTACTGTCTCTGAAGGTACTGGATCATATTGCAGAGGTCTGTTCTTAGGGCCCCCAAGCATCATAAATGGTCTTGGCAGATTTTCTTTTTTTTTTTCTTTTTTTTTTTAAGGACCTTGGCTGCTTTTTACTAGAGGGTTGCTTTTATGAATATATTTATACTATTAAAGGATGGTTGATCTAATTTAACTTTGCCATTTTGTAGGAGAAAGTCCATCACAGAGTCAAATCTTTTGAACTGTTATGCATGCGTATTTTTATTTAATATAAATTTTGACTATAAAAAGTAAAAATATTAACGTGAAATGCAAGTTCTTATGTTAAGTTCTTTTAAAGAGATGTCTTATTTTATTTGTAATGTATATATAAAAGTTATACCTGTATGTTTTTTCTTACATTTAACTGCTGTCCAGTGTTAAATGTATGCATGTAAATGTGTTGCACATCTGAAACTTTTATTCTGACAACTATGTAACTTATTCACTCTGTAAATACACTTACCGTTTTTGTGAAGTAACTTTGGTTGATACTTGGATCAGTACATCCATTTAACTAAAATATAGAAGTCATATATAATCACGACAGTATGTGCTTGCTGTGAAGGTTGTGTTCTTGTCTGAATTTGTACTGTTGTGGATGATATCCATGATCAGCAGCCTCCCAGAAACACCTTTTTCTCCATTTATGGTGAAACTTTTCATTACACTGAATGAAACCAGGCAGAAATGCAAGGATATTTTTTTTCAGTGTGTAGTTACAGAAGAATACTTGTATTGATACAGAAAAGTGGTGGAATCTATTTATTTTACAGGTTTTCTCATTTTGCAGTGCACAGAGCTCTGCAGCACAATTGTTGCTATTTCTCGGAGTAGAATAATCTCCAATGGTTAGCGAAGTCTTCAAATTTCAGTTATGTATTTCACTTCTGAACTGTAGTCAGGGTGGTCGGTGAAAACTTCAGTGTTCGGTGAAAGTTGAGATCAGCTCTATCACTTGGAAAATTCATGGATATTTTACAGAATCGCAGGAAACTTCCATTTGGAAGGGACCTGAGGAGGCCATCTAGTCCAACATCCACTTGGAAACAGGGTCAGCCATGAGACCAAATCAGGTTGCTCAGGCCTTTACCTAATGGGGTATTGAAAGCATTTAAGGATGGAGAGTGTATGGCCTCCCTGGACAACCTGTTCTACTTGACTGTTCTCATGGTGGAGAAGCTTTTGTTTTATCTCTGGATCTATCTTATTTAATTTCATATGTGTTGTCTCTCAGCCCACTACTATAAGACACATTGAAGGGCCTGTCTCCATCTTTCCTGAATAACCATAACCTAGCAGGCTACTGTGAGCTCTCCCTGACATCCTTACTTCTTCAGACTGAATAAGCCAAATTTCTTCAGCTCATCCTCTCCTCCTCACAGCTTCCACTGAACTCCTTACAGTCAATCAACATTTCTCCTATAAAGAGCCCAAAACTGGATACAGTCAGCCCGATGTGATCTAGTGAATGCTGAGTAAAGGGGGATGACGCTTTTGCTGCTGCACTGACTCTACTTTAGTTCATACAGCCAAGGATGTTGCTGCTGCCAGGGCCCACTGAAGGTCCCACACCCCGCTCACCAACCAAACTCCAAGGGCACTTTGCCAATGAGCCAGTGTCTGTGTCACTACCAAAGGTTCTCCTCATCCAGGAGAGAATTCCCTCTTGTCCCTGCTGAATATCACAAGGCTGGTGTTGGCCCATCCCTCCAGTCAGCTGAGAGCTCTCCAAATTGCAGCACTGCCCTCAGCTGGTCCCCCCAGTTTGGTGTCACCTGCAAACTTGACAAGCACACACTCTTGCCTCTTCCAGGTCACTGGTAAAGATGTTGACCGGGACAGATCACCTGCTGTACACCACTTGTTACTGCCCTGCAGGCATGCTGCAACCCCTTAAACACTACCTTCAGCAACCCTCGATGTGAAGACCTTCAGAGGTTCCTTCCACCCTAAAGTACTCAGTTTCTTCACAGGTAAGCTAGCTAGCTTTCTCAGCATCATTTCTAAGTAGAAATGAGTATGTTCCCAACACAGCCTCAGCAGCATCCTAGAATTAAAGCAACTGCAGCAATGCCACACTGTGTTTCTACACCAGTATGTTAATTAGGGTTCCCCTGACTGCATTTTTGTCTCCTTCAAAAGCACATTCATTTATTCGCTTCAAGTTATATTTAAACCACTTACCCTGGAGGTGCCTTACATGACCAAAAAGCTTCTGAGGCACAAGCCTATATTTGAAGAACATGCTCTGCTTCTTTTGGGATACATTAAATCACAGAACATTACCCTCCATCACAGCTATCCCACCTTGTTTTTCCTGTCCTCACTTAAAAACTATGAAGCTTACATTTTTCCCCTCATAGTCTTCTAGCAGGTAAGACTTTGATTATCAAACTGCTGTGACTTCTTTTTTATACACAGATATATATACATTTGACAGGAGCAGTGGGAAGAGACACCTGGAGATGCATTTATCCCTTCATTCCCCAAAAGGCTTGCATTTTCTGCACTAGTTCAGTTGGAGTGACTGAAAGAAAAACTTGCTTTTGCAGTTTCAGTCTTAGCATTCTTTAAATGCAGACTAAAAACAAAGCCTCTGTTCTTTAGAAAATCAAATAGGGTCTGTTTCCTTTCAGATATACTGTCCTCTTTCATGCCAGCAGAATGCAACTTCAGGGTAACAAATTAATGCAAACTTTTATTGATCTTTATTCACAGCATATAAAGTATGTAACTTCATTGTATATAAATAATACAAAAGTCTTTATCCATTATCCAATGCCTGGTCAAAAGCCTAAAGTCAAAACACTGCAAGAGACAGACATAGAGCAAAGCACAAAAGAGAAGAGGGCACACAGATCAGACAATGTATTTGAAGCTGTAAGTGCTATCACAGGACAGCCTCTTGTCTTTGCAGCGGCCGCAAAGTTCTTGGCGATGAGGTCTCTTAAGATCAATGTGTCTTTTCTTCTGAGGACAGGAACAACGAGTCTTTGAACAGGTCTTAAGAAACAAGACATTTTATTAGTAGGAGACGAGAGGTGCTCACTTCATATTAGAGTGATATTTAGTTTTCCTTAATCATAGCAACACATTTGGGCTGATACACTTAAGAGCTCTTGTGGTGAAAACACTGCAGAGCTCAGCTGTAAGAGACTTCTCACCTAGAAGCACAAATCCCTACCCTACATGTAGCTCAGCAAAACACTGTATGAACAGAAAACTGTTCATGTAAACCTCCTGCAGGAGGAAGGAATCCTACCCCATGACACCTTTCCCAAGTAACATTTCCGAGTACTTTGATGAAAGCAAGTTCTCTTCCAGATCAAATAAATATAAAATTAAACAACTGTAAACTATTAGAGTGTATGACAAAAATCTTTAACTCACCTGGCACTGGATTGCTTCCACTCGATAGGGATTGAAGCCCTTCTGGCATTTTCGACAGAGCTGCTTGAAGTACACCTGAAGAAAAAAAGTTCTGTTACTACAGAGACTCAGAGTATTCAAGTGCAAGGACCTAGATCAGTGCCAAATATCTAATTTGTCATAGACCTCTTATAAGCCTCAGGAGCAAGAAATTACTTGTTAACTACCTTGTTGCTTCCAGAAATGCACCACACGTAAGCACTCTCCCATCTGGTCTTGCAGTTTTTACAGTGGAAATAGCCATACTTCTGCTCCAAGAACTGTGGAGAGAAAGTTGACTGAGCAGCCTCCAGCACTGCGAGAGCACCCAGCCCAGCTCCTCCATTGCCACCACCTTGTACCACAGGCAGGAGACCCCACTGCTGTGAGCAGACAGAGCTCTTTGCAGACTCAGAGCTACACAGACCCAACAGGGAGGCCAGGGTGGGGACCACTGTGCCTTTTCCCTCTCAAGAGAGGATTTCATAGAATCATTAAGGTTGGAAAAGACCTTTAAGATCATCAAGTCCAACCATCAACCCAATGCTACCATGACCACTAAACCATATCCCAAAGTGCCACACCGATGCTTTTTTTTTTTTTAACACCTCCAGGGGACAGTGACTCCACCACTTCCCTGGGCAGTCTGTTCTAATGCTTCATCAGCCCATTACAGTTGCTCTCTGACCTGTTTCATGGTTTGTCCCCCACCCCTCTCACCCAAGGTAGGCTGCACTAGGTCCCAAACCCTGCACACCTGGAAGACAGCCCGTTGTCTAGGGGCTGCTGCTGCCTCCTCCTTCTCCTCACTTGGCAGAGCAGCCTCTGCCCAGCTCTCCTGCTGCTCCCCGATAGCATCCTCCACCTTCTGCTCCTCAGGTGTTGTTTCAGACACTTCATCCTTTTCCTGGGGTCCAGCAGCCTCAGGCAGCGTGAAGAGGCGGCGGTCCAGCACAGGCGAGTAGAGTGCGAGGTGCCCCTGGGTGCGAAGGGCGGCGGGGCCGAGGGGCTGTCCCAGGGGCAGCGTGCGTGGCCCCAATGAGCACTGCACAGCTGCATCAGAGCGCAGGTTCACCTGCACGCCCACCTCCTTGGTGCTGGCTCTGTGCAGCCTTGGGGTCAGCCCAGGGCTCACCTGTGACAACAGGGCCTGGAGCTGGGCCCGCCGGTAGCCTTCAAGGTAGTCAGAGGGCATGGGGCTGAGGGGCCCCCCGAGGAAGGGGCTGATGCCACTGCTCTTGCTCTGCTTCCAGCTGGGCTGCTTCAGTGCTGGGTCCCTGCTGCGGTTTGGTGTGAGGCTGCCCCTGAGGCTCTGGTATGTGCTGAAGGGATAAACAAAGCCCTCCATGGTCAAATGGTCAAAGCCATGGAAAAGTCAGTCCTGGTTGCCTCCCTGCCCTGCTTTTATCTCACCTGGAGAGCTGCTGCTAATTGTTGCTAATCAATAGAGAAATTGGCCCCAGCTTGGTGTGGTGAGCAGGGGGTGGGGGGAGGATTGATTGCAAAGAGAGGGCTGCCCTTGTCTCTGCTCCCTGGGCTGAGACAGGGGTTGTCCCTGAGTACATGGTGTGGGAGGTCTGGACATGCAGACTGCAAAGCCCTTGCTCGGGCCATCACATACCTCATGAAGAGTCCTGTAGCAGACCAAGGTCTGTGCAGAGCTCCCAGCAGCCATGCCCCGTGCTTGCTCTGCTCCTGGAGACCTTCCTCTGAGGCCTCCACTAGAAAAAGCAGCTCCAGGGCAAGGAGCCACAATAACAAATCCACGGATGAATAAAGTCCCAGGAGCTGTAAATGGAGGAATATCCTGACAGAGCTGTGCAAGCCAGGAGAAGCAGTCAGTGCTCAAAAAGTAGCATGTCTGCAAGGTCCTGTAAAGATAAGTATATGTAATTCAGCCATAGCTGGGACAACTGTGGCTTTCAGAGTAAGTGGAAGCTAGCTTGTTCACAGCTCCTTCTGTCTGTGGTCTTAAGAGAATGAAAAGAGGGTTTGGGAAACTAACAAAACCCAGATAAACTAGGTACCATACAGACAAATAAGCAAAGACAGCGGGCGATCACATCTCTGGAAAGAAGTCTATATAGGCGTTAAAAGGTCTGGGCATCACTGTTGCTCCATTACCTGGGGATTGTCTACATGGAGCTTTTCTGTAAACTGGGTTAGTTTAGGAAAAGATGGAACACACAGAATCACAGAATTACTGAGGCCAGAAAAGACCTCTGAGATCATCAAGTCCAGCCTATGTCCCAACACCGTCACACTGGCTAGACCATGGCACTAAGTGCCACATCCAGCCTCTCCTTAAACACCTCCAGGGACGGTGACTCCACCACTTCCCTGGGCAGTGCATCCCAGTGCCTGAGCACCCTCTCCCTGAGGAAGTGCTTCCTGAGATCCAACCTAAACCTTCCCTGACACAGTTTCATGCCGTGTCCTTTCGTCCTGTCACTGATTGCCAGAAGAAGAGCCCGACCCCCACCTGACTACACCCTCCCTTCAGGTAGTTGTAGAGAGTTACAAAGTCCCCCCTGAGTCTCTGCTTCTCCAGGCTAAACACTTCATATATATACACTTCAGTTTGTACAGTGCTCTGTAGGGAAAAAAAAAGGGAAAACAGTTATACCAGGAAAAAAGACTTAATACCTCTACAATTAAATAAATTTTAGCAATACAAGTGCTTACATATTAGACTAATAGTCCTTCTTCCATAACTATATCACTTTATTTCAATTCTAAGGTAACATAGTTAAAATAATATAATTAAGTCATCCAGACTGTGTATGTGAGTCTTTAGAGACTGCAGAATCTCCAAATCCCTAGACTTCCTGTGATGTGAAAGAATTTATTTCATGACTACTCACCACCTTTATAAAAGCATTGCATTATAAAATTCAACAGGCCCACAAGGCTAGAAAAGAGCTAGTAAGCACGCTGTCTTTAAATATTCACAGCATATTTTAAAAAGATCCTTTCAAGTGTCTGACACAAATCACTAAGAAACAACATTTCTATGGAACAGAAAGGAATGGAGCTTCAGGAAACACATTTATTGTAGTTAAAAGCAAGATGGCTCAAGGCTCCACATTGTGCTTGAGTTTTCCAAACACCATCTGCATCAACTCAAAGCAAAACCAGGGTATCGAGATGACCAAGTTAAAACTTATGACTTTGTGGCTGCACAAAGAGTAAGTTGTTAGGGAAGCTTGGAAAGGGGGTGGAGATTAATTTGGAAGCTACATGCCATCATTCATAACAATGGTATGGCTTCCTCTGGAATGCTTTGGGAAGAACCAGTTACTGCACCTCCCCAGAAAACTGCAGGATTAGTAGTTAAATAAGTTTCTTGGAAGGGGGAGGGACATGGAAAAAATATTGCATGAAGAGACACTGAAGAAGGTGACAGATGAGTAAGTAGATGGTGTGATAAAACTGTAAAATAAGGACTGCTATGGTAAGGTAGTAAGGGAGCCCCTTAAAACACAAGAGCAGATGAACATCCAGCTGAAATGAAAGATCACTAACTCAAAATTTGTGATAAGAAGAATTTTCCACCCAAGTGGGAAGTTATTTTATGGACTGATTGCTGAGGTCAAGAATTCTTCGGGAGTCAAAACAGGAATGGACATTTACGTGGAGGATAGTAATATATTTATTATAACATCAATAGCCATAATAATTTCATGCGTGAAGCCCTTGTCCACAGGCAGGGACACTCCATCACAGTACTGCTGATCATGTAGGGACTTCTTTCGGGGACACTGGTGTTAACTGCTACTACACAGTAAGATGGAATATGTTGACCCAACTCCCTCTATGACAAGGTGACTGGCTTAGTGGATGAGGGAAATGCTCTGGATGTTGTCTACCTGGACTTCAGTAAAGCCTTTGACACCATTTCCAGCTGCATTCTCCTGGAGAAACTGGCTGCCCAAGGCTTGGACGGGCACACACTCTGCTGGATCAAACACCATCTGGATAGCCGGGCCCAGAGTGTAGTGGTGAATGGAATTAAATCTATTTGGCAGCTGATCACAAATGGCATTTCTCAGGGCTCAGTGTTGGGGACAGTTCTGTTCAATATCTACAGAAGCAGCTGGACAGGCTGGATTGATGGGCCAAGGCCAGTTGTATGAGGCTGAATACGGCCAAGTGCCAGGTCCTGCACTTGGGTCACAACAAGCCCAGACAACACTACAGGCTTGGGGAAGAGGGGCTGGAGAGCTTCCTGGTGGAAAAGAACCTAATGTGTTGATAATTAGCCGGCTGAACATGAGCCAGCAGTGCGCCCAGGTGGCCAAGTCCAAGAGCATCCCAGCCTGTACCAAAAATAGCGTGTCTGGCAGGAGTAGGGCAGTGATCGTGCCCCTGTACTCAGCACTGGTGAGGCTGCAGCTCAAGTAGTGTTCAGTTTTGGGCCCTTCACTGCAAGAAAGATATTTTGGTGCTGGAGTGTGTCCAGGGAAGGGCAACAAAGCTTATGTGGAATCTTATGTGGAGCAGCTGAGCCAACTGGGACTGTTTAGTCTGGGAGAGGCTGAGGGGAGACCTCACTGCACTCTACAACTACCCGAAAGGCGGTAATAGTGAGGTGGGGGCTGGTCTCTTCTCCAAAGTAACAAGCGTGAGGAAATGGGCTCAAGTTGCACCGGGGGAGGTTTAGCCTGGCTATTAGGAAAAACATCTTCACTGAAAGAGTTGCTAAGCACTGGATCAGGCTGCCTAGGGCAGCGGTGGAGACACCTGGAGATGTTCGAAGGGTGTGTAGATGTGGTGCTTAGGGAGAGATTTAGTGGTACTGCTGGGTTAACATCTGGACTCTTTTCCAACCCAAACGACTCTGTGGAAAGCAGATGGCTGACACTTAGCCCAGGACACTCCCTTGTCGTATGGTGAGAAACTGGCCATAGAGATAACTACTTCACCACTGACACCACCTCCTCCTGCCCCGCCCAGAACGTCCCA